CTCATTTTGATCCAACGGCTCGAACAGAGCTTCGCACCGATGCAAGCGGCTATGGCATTGGTGCTATACTCGCTCAGATACAGAATGGCACCAACCGTGTGATAGCCTACGCTAGCCGCCTTTTGTCGCAAGCGGAACAAAATTATTCTATAACTGAGCGGGAATGCTTAGCCCTCGTTTGGGCTATCGCGAAATTCCGTCCGTACTTATACGGACGTCCGTTCGCAGTCATCACGGACCATCATGCGCTTTGCTGGCTGTCGACGCTTAAGGACCCTACAGGAAGACTCGGCCGATGGGCTCTTCGATTACAGGAGTACACGTTCTCGGTTGTTTACAAATCTGGAAAGCTGCACAGCGATGCTGACTGCTTATCCCGGCACCCCGTTGATCCACCTAGCTCCACTGATTTGGAATCCGATGCCTGCGTTTTAGCCATCACTGACTTTTTGAACGTGGCTGACGAACAGCGCCGAGATCCATCGTTGCTCACCATCATTGACCGCCTTCAATCGCGTTATCCTGACCCATCTCTTAGCAGATACCTGCTTCAAGACAACATTTTGTACCGCCGCAACTTACACCCCGACGGCGCGGAACTTTTACCTCGTCGTACCGCATCACCTGCGAAAGGATGTTCTGCGACAATTCCACGACGCTCCAACTTCTGGACATCTAGGAGTCTCCAGAACTTATGACCGCATTCGATGACGAGTATTCTGGAAGGGTCTGTACCGCTCTGTTCGCCGTTACGTCACATCTTGTGACCTCTGCCAGCGCCGAAAGAAGCCTACGACTCCCCCTGCCGGTCTTCTTCAACCTATTGAAGTTCCAGCCGAGCCATTTTATCGAGTGGGGTTGGACTTGCTAGGTCCCTTCCCTACTTCTACAACTGGAAATAAATGGATTGCAGTGGCCACTGACTATGCCACTCGGTATGCAATCACTCGAGCGCTACCAACCAGCTGCGCAACCGACGTTGCCGACTTCCTGCTGTACGACATTATTCTCCAGCATGGCGCTCCGACTCACCTGCTCACAGACCGTGGTCGCTACTTTCTATCTCGTGTGGTTGATGACCTGCTCCGATCTTGTGCTACCCGTCACAACTTCACCACATCTTACCACCCTCAGACTAACGGCCTTACGGAGCGCCTAAACCGCACATTGACGGACATGCTTTCCATGTACGTATCTACCGACCACACTGATTGGGACATAGCTCTTCCGTTCGTAACCTTCGCCTATAACTCGTCGCGTCATGAAACAGCGGGCTACTCCCCTTTTTATCTACTCTTCGGACGTCATCCCTTACTGCCCTTCGACACACTGCTTTCATCAAACCACCCATCCTCCACTTCGTACGCTCAGGATGCGATCACCCGGGCCCTCACGGCACGCGCGGTAGCGCGCGCTCGGTTATCGTCGTCGCAGACAGACAGAAGTCCCTTTACGACCGTCGACATAGAGATGCCGTTTTCTCTGCGGGATCTCTTGTTCTCTTGTGGCTCCCATCTCGACGTGTTGGCCTCTGCGAGAAACTACTATCGCGATACGCCGGGCCCTACCGAGTCATTCGTCAGGTCACACCTGTGACCTACGAGATTTCCGCTACCACAAACTCATCAGCTGCTGCACCCAGAACGGAAGTAGTCCACGTTTCTCGTCTCAAGCCCTACAACGCCGACTCGCTCATTTAACAGGCACCGAGACGGTGCCTTATGGGCCGGGGTGATGATACGTGTATGAAACTGTCACCCCGACACAGCTGAATTGGCACCCAAATGAAGAAGATGACAACGTGGTTGTAGTGGGTTGGACTCTCGAGCTTCTCCCGTTGGCCTGCATGACTGTGCGCTCTTTAAGCCGTTAGCAAGACCAGCTCTCGGTGAATAAATCTTCCCCGTAACAATATTTAAATCGTAGAGGGAAAACAGCAGATATTTTCTGGTATGAAATTGCAAAAAGTATGAATTAACCAAATGATGGAGTTTGAATTAAGAGGCATTTAAGAACATTGAAAGAATATAGGACCAAGTAAAAAAAATAACTGAAAGTGTGAATTATCAGAGTTTTAATTATCACGAGTCTACTGTACAGTCGTGTGACAAAATTGGCGTTAGTGTGCGACTGTATGATCATTGGCTTAATAAAATGTGATGCAGGAGTATTTTGTGCGCATGACAGCACAAGAAAACTGCAGCACCATGTTTCACATTTGAATCTCAATAACTTGAACTTGAAGGGGCCCGAAAATTACTTCGATTTAAAAGAAGTTTGAATTAATGAAAGCTAAATGAACGGAGGGCTCACTATACAGTGCCGCTTGTGCATTGAGCTAACACACGCACAGGAATTTTTCGGAACTTACATTTATTTGCAAATCACAGGACATCTGTCAATAATTGAAGTAATCGGAGATGGGAGTCTGCACACGTTTGCCTAGCAGCGAGTCAATCAATTTTGCACACAGTTTGCAAAGCATTTCTACTTTGTCTTCAGAATTCTCCTGGTAAGAGAAGTTGCACGCGGCAATGTGCAGCGGCGACACTCTCTAAAGACTACAACTGCGTTTTCGCTACTACCCTCTGTGCCGCAGCCGCAGTGTGGCCAGCACGTGATGAGAAAGGAGGAGCGTCGCCACGCAGAGAGAAGCAGATCAGCATTTGAAAGAGAACTAACACTCAATTGCAGTTTTTTTTTTTTTTTTGCTCTCTTCGCGCGCGTTGTTGAAAGAAGGGTCTATGTGGCAGGGACGGGAAAGGGTGAAGCGTGGCACCAGCACGTGAGAGGGAGCCAACACTCTGCGGCAGCTTTCTTCTTTTTTTTTCTTTGTCTCTCTCTCTTTGTGCACGGCGTTGCTAGGAGAAGGGTCTCTACGTGGCAGGGACGGAAAAGGGAGAAGCGTGGCACAGGCGCGTCGCAGGTCGGAATTTGAGAGAGAGCAAACATTCCACCGCAGCCTTTTCATTCCTTTTTTTCTTTTCTTTCTTCGCGCAGAGTGTTGAGGTGTCGGAGGTGCCCCCGTGGGATTGGGCGGGTTCTGAGAGCATTTTCGGAGTACTTTAGTTCGAATTAACCGTCGCAAGTGCTTGCGCATTCGAATTACAAGGCGTTTTCGCCCATAAAAATACACATAGGTTTGACGGGAGCACAGTGTTAGTTCTAATTAACTGGAAGTTCAAATTAAGCACATTCAAATTAACCCGTATATGCCCAGTGTCCTACATGTAAGACGCTGAGACATTTCACTGTAACTCGATTGTTTTTTCTGTGAAAAAGGTAGCGCCACCTAAGGTGTGTTTAAGATGCCCTGTCCTCGCCACAAAAAAGTCTAGGTGATCGCTGGGCTACAAATAGCCACATGTTTGCAGTCACAAAATGGCTATTTCGCGTGCGTGTAGCTGAGTGCCATACCGGGAAAAAAAAAGATATAGGTAATATACAGTTAAATTGTTCTCGATGCTGCTGATATTTTTGTCAGTTGTTCTTCAATTATCGGCTGTGCAGTAACTTTCCTGTGACAGTGATAGGCGCTAATGTTTTTTGTTCGCGGTGTGTCAAAAATTGGTGCCCTACATATAGGACGGCTCCAAAACCATTGTCCGAAAGTTTTTTTTTTAAACAAAAGCCTTATTCTGCTTTCTAAAGTCGTAGAAGCAATCATTTTTTGGAAATGGCTTTGTTAACTTTCTTAAGTTTGGGCATATATGAGTTAAGGAGATTTGACTGTACAACTTTTTTTATTATCAGCTATTTACTACAGCATCGCTAGCAAGGCATGGTAACACAATGCACTAACATGTGAAGCACATGGCATGACATGATTAATTTCGCAGAAGTTCTAGCCACTACCTGTTTTGGCAGCTTAGTATCTGCAGTTTCAAATGCCTGGGTTGAGGGCTCACTTGCTGGCCACAGTGGCCTCATCGTGATGGGAAGGAAATAGAATATACATATATAAGAAGTAAGCAAAAAGCAAGGAAGTAAGTTTTGAAGCAAACATGTAGATTTTAACCTCACAGTAATGAAGTCGCATGTGACCCAGAAATGACTTCATTATATCTAGAATTCATTCTAAGCATAAAGGTATATTTGTGCAACTTTAAGTATGACAAGGGTAGTCTTCATTTTTCCTCATTGTAACCGATAACTCTATATATCAAGTGTACATCAATGCTTGACTCTCAAAATCTGCCCTTGTTAAAAAAACGCTAAGTGCAACAGACTTAAAATGCAAAATTTGAATGTCAAACTATTGCTACTATTGCTAATTATTTTAGCAGGAGCTAAAAGGTGCCATGAATCACCTGCTACTATACTAGGCCTCACGGGGTATTTGACAACCAGGTGCCGGTGAGTTAAATTGGTTCATTATAATGACGCCGTCTAGAAGGCTGGTTAGCGGGAATATTTCATTGTGTGTACATTGTGTTTGCTTTTTTTGAACATGGCAGTGTACACAGTTGCACACCTTATGTTATCCCAAATGTTCTTGAGATTTGCTAAAGTTATTCACTGACAGTTGTACTTATCATTGTGGCCTAATGCCCTTCCATGCCCGCCATTAATCTTTGGAAGTGTTGTCTAAGAAATTGTAGATGACAAAGTCGGAGCTGATGATTTGAGCTGAAAATTCAAAGCACTGGTTCATCGTGGGCTGTGTAGTACCAGGAAAAATATCATTCAATATAACGTTTGTGCAGATCGAGGAGTTGAAGTGTGTGGGACTTTTTCCTCATTAAAATGTTGCTGCTGCCAACCAATTGGTTCAAGTTATCTGTCAATTTGAATTCAGAGGTTTTGAATTAGTAGGGTTTCAGTGTACTAATCTTGTGCCCGCAAAGAAGATGTACGCATTTTATTGGCAAATAATAAGGGCATCGTTTTTGCAGTGTCAAAGAGACTGTGTGTAAGTGTGACCGCATAGTTCTGTATGCAGTCGGTGCTTATCGAAGCAAGTTAAGCACTCACTTACATGCGTGGTGCTTCTCCTGCAGGCTTCCTTTCGAGGAGTTTGCAACTAACGAAGCAATCCAATGCACCGAAATCTACGAATACTCCCAGTCCCTTGCCAATGCAGGCTACATGCTTCCACATCTGCAGGCAAGTAACGTTTCCCGTCTACCTCTCAACATGCTTGAAATGTGAAGTGTTGCACTGCATGCAGTCTAACGTGTGGTTATGAACTTGTGTGTGAATACCCACTGTGTTAGCTCAGTGAATGTGTCTTGGATGCCCCGCCGCGGTGGTCTAGTGGCTAAGGTACTCGGCTGCTGACCCGCAGGTTGCGGGTTCGAATCCCGGCTGCGGCGGCTGCATTTCCGATGGAGGCGGAAATTTAGAGGCCCGTGTACTCAGATTTGGGTGCACGTTAAAGAACCCCAGGTGGTCAAAATTTCCGGAGCCCTCCACTACGGTGTCTCTCATAATCAAATGGTGGTTTTGGGACGTTAAACCCCACAAATCAAATCAATGTGTCTTGGCACTGCAGAGATGGGGTTTTCAGGTTTGATCACAACCATTGTAGATAAAAAAAAAAAAAAACAGCCAAGGAGGATCTCAGCTCAACAATTTGACTTTTACGATAAGGGGCAGTGGTTTTGTAGTAGTAAATACCATCTGAAATACTTTCTATACTGTTTTCTGTAAAGGACCCTGCAGTTGAAAATTTGTGGCCAATTTAGGTGGAAATTCGAGATACAGTTGATTTTCTTTACAAGAGACATGCACCGGGGAGCAATTCTTGTCTTTTATATAAGGTGTCTCTTATAAGAAGGGTACCTCGGATGCATCTTTTTATCAACACCTATTTCAAGTAGGTCTATTTGTCTTTTACATCAGTGTCTCTCATAACGGGGTCTTATTGTATTTAGTATTGGCATAAAAGGATAAAACTGACGAAATATTTTGTGAAAGCCATACTTTTCAACGAGAGGACGTTTCCTTAGACTGGCTGTTCGTCGTAGATTTGAAACCTGAAAATAGAAATTAAGAGTGCACCTTCAAAAAGACATGTTTCACCATGTCAAAGATCACCGCTAGTACTGTCTGCACTGAAATCATGCAAAAGAACAGGGTGCAACGCAAGAGTTCAAATCACATGCAACCGTGCTTGTAGAGTGCTCTCGCATTTCATTGCCAGCGTCACTGCTGACGCATTGTATTTGGCAAATTGTAGTCTCATTGAATTCCTAGACAAGGGTAATACAGTTTAAGCACAGCTCTGTTTTCTCACCTGTAGTTTTCGGTATTATATTTTTTTTGTGTTCGTATTTTTTTTTATGCTCTCACGGTGCCTGTAGGCTTAATGAAGATTACATTTCATTTTTACATTTTGTTCTGCACTCACTGAATTGAAGTTAACCCCAATTATGCATGCTACCTTTACTATAAGTTCAGTATGTCAGGTGTGGTTACAATATATAATGTGTTTTGGCAAATGTGTTGTTGCAGACTTACAAGTTTCTTCATGCCACACGGCTTGCAGAGTATGGCTTCGCGCAAGAGGTGGGTCTTGGCATTGCTTATTTCTTTCCTTCCAGCTTTTTGAATAATTGTTTAAGGACAATTATATTCTTCTTTAGTAATAATATTAGGCTGCTATTTGTCAGAGTAGTCTTCAGTCATTTGTTCGTGTTTAGGACAACTGTAGCATATGTGTAATGTGTGCAAAAGTTTGCTTTTAGGTTGTTCTGTGTACCTTTGTTGGATTGAAGGCCCGACAGTTTGTTGAATGAGGTTGTTATTGTTAGCTCATCTACAGCTTTTGGGGTTGCGAGCAGAAACTATTGTCGGCATTTCATAGCTATTTCTTTTTTGCAGATTAGCTTTTCTTTCTGCACCCTAGGGAAAAATTTTTTTTGCTATGCCATTGCTTGCTATTCATTATTTACCACTAGTTATCTTTAATATGCTTGCCTAGCCCCGCCGCGGTGGTCTAGTAGCTAAAGTACTTGGCTGCTAACGCGCAGGTCGTGGCATCGAATCCCCGCCATGGCGGCTGAATTTTCAATGAAGGCAAAAACGCTGTAGGCCCTTGTGCTCAGATTTGGGTGCACATTAAAAAACCCCAGGTGGTCAAAATTTCTACAGCCCTCCACTACGGCATCTCTCATAATCATATGGTGGTTTTGGAACGTTAATCTCCGCAAATCAATCAAATCACTAGCTTGCCTAAATCTTGCATGTAATTAAATGATTGTAGCATACCTAGTGTACAACTAGCAATGTTATAACCACAGCAGGAGACACAGGGACGGTAGTGGCAGGGCTTGAGTATCGAGGGCTGTTTGTTTCAAGGCTTGTACATACACAAATGAATGGTTGGAAGGGGAACAGCATTGCTGCATTTTTTTTTTGCATAACTTGTGCTGTATGCTTCTGCTGTTGCATGGGCTTATTTTAGGGGAAAATAGAATTCAATAGAATCTCAGTATGCGAACCTTAAGGGGAAACGTCATATTACCTGAAATTTTGAATCGCTAGAAAACTAGCAAAATCTGTTTTCGAAACCACGATATACACACGAAACATTTATTTCTATCAAAAGAACCCAAGTATGTCTCTCTTGGAGCCAAGCAAACGGACCAGTATGGGATGGAACAGCTGGCTGCAGTGAATATGCACATCAAAGCTTCGCTTGGGGCCAATTGAAAACTTTAAGTGCTGAAGTCCGCTTCAATATAGCCATTATTGAACGACGAGATCGCCAAAACACCTGGAGCCTTTTTTTTCCCGACATAATTGCCTTTAATTTGTCCCCATGTTACCTGCATACCTTCGGAACTGTGTGGTCGTGGTCAATGATCGAATTAATTGTGACTATGGCATCATGGCAAGATTCAAGGACAAACAGTAGTTTCATTTTTAACCGGTATTTGCTGGCCGCGAGTGCTTTCAAATCTACGTTGTTTCTTTGTGCGATCAAGTCTGCCGCGATTTTGTTTGCAGTTGTTTGCGGCAAGTAGCATCGCCTTGACTTCGTGTTAAGTGCGCATACATTTTCGAGTTTCGTTGTCGCCATATGTAATTGGGTTAATAGCAACCGCAAATGATACCCACAGTTCTGACTGTATGTGCATTGGCCACGCACGTACTTTCAAATCTTCCAGTCTTTAAGTTCATTAAAGCATACTCACCTGTGTCGTTGTAATTTGTTGTTTTTTTTTATGCTTTTTCACGTGAGTTGTCTTGGGCTTGCATTGTTGACTGAATGAAAGCACATTTGGAGCAGTTTATATTTTTGTTAATTTTCTGCACAAGCATCTGGCATTCAGAAGTGTGGACATGTGCCGTCAACATTCTTTGCGGAGTGCGACAGATGCCCGTCACTTTTGTATGTTGTTATGATTTGTCGTATGTTGGTGTGTACTACTGTGTTGCCTCTTGTGTATGTGCAAGTGACCACTCTTATTCAATTTCACCTTATTTCAGCAGAATATAATAAAACAAGGTTGTTGGGAAGGTTCAAAGAGAAGTTTCATCTTCCACATGAAAGCCTTGTTCTCAACACGGCCTCTTTGTGAACAAGAATTTCATCAGATGAAATCTGAAATGTTCGTTTAAGTGTTTTAACCCGTCATGTTTAGTCAGGGTTCCGTTTTTCTCTCGTGTGAAGTGGATTTATTTCCTATACTAAACAAAAGTTATCCGGTTGCCAATGCCACTGTTGCAAGCACACAGTGTCGCTCATAATTTTAGAGCTGGTGAACGAACACTACCTTGACGGGTGTTGTTGCAGGCACTGCACTATTGTGAAGTCCTAGCAGAGGCAATGGTTCGGCATTGTGAGTCGGCGCAGCTGGCCGCCCAGACATACGAGCTGGCCAACCGCCTCAAGTACCATGACCCTCACTTCAGCCAGGGCCAAGGAGAGCTAGAGGAACTGGGTGAGCCCCTGTGGCTTGCCAACTTTGCCCACCTGGTCAACCAGCTGCTTCAGCAACTGCGTGGGAACAGCAGTATGTCTCAGGTACAAGATCAAGAGCACTAGCCAGCAGCCGCTGGAAATGCATGGTGTACAGTTGCCAACTGATAATATATATTTGACTGCAGCTGCGTTGAAATTAAAGTAACTCTTAGCCTGGAAGTAATGAGTAACAGAGTAGCCCTTCCACTGTGGTAGGTTGTTCCCTATGTTTCAATACCTCATTGCGCAGCTTATGCAGAAATGGAGTGGTTTTGTTAGCCTAGTTGTTTTCAATGATGCAAGAAGTAGGCTTGTGCGAATACACTCAAGACTCGTTATAATGTAATGGGAGACAATGAAATAATGGATATAACGAAGTAAATGAAATTCTCCTTGAAAGCTCCATTGAGAACCATGCATTTTAAACCTCGTTGTAATGAAGTAAAATAAATGGATATAACGAACTAAATTAGTCTATCAAATGGACTATAAAAAAAACGACCGTAGTGTGTTAAGTATATCGTTTTCTGCGGAGTTCGGCGCGGCTCTTTTAAAACTACCACGCAGACCTTACAACCACGCCACACGCGGTCGAGAGAGCCGTCCTCCTCACACAGCCAGCGGAGAGGATTGAGGAAGCGCTCAACGGGTCACATGACGGAGAAGCGCCGCCGCGGTGCAAAGCGATTTCCCTCTCCACGCGACGGCGACGACTGGGTCTCCGCTGCTACCCTCTACACCGAGAAAGGACGACTCTTCGCGACATCTTTCCTTTTTTTTTTTTTTTTCTCCGCACGTGGCCTTGAAGGGAGAAGGGCCTCTACGTGACAGGGGACGGAAAAGGGAGAAGGGTGGCACAGGCGTGTCGCAAATCGGCATTTGAGAGAGTGCAAACACTCCACCTACTCTCAGCATGGTGCTCTCAGCATGGTGCTGAGAGTATTTTTGGAGCGTGGTATGTTCGAATTAATCATCACAAGTGCTTGCGCATTTGAATTACAGGGCGTTTTCGCTCATTAGAATACGCACAGCTTTGAGGGTACCTCGTGAGTTCAAATTAATCGGAAATTCGAATTAGACGTGTTCGAATTATTGAGGTTTGACTGCGTTTATTTTCTGTCGCACGCGTGGTCACGTAGCGGTACATCGGGCCGCGAGGCAGTTTCCTTCTTTGCATGCTTATAGGTGTGTGCCCATCTAAGCGTACATTGATTGCCACAAACTGTTATAATCGATATAGCAAAATAATGAATGTGACAAAGGAATTGTGGCTTCCCTTAAACTTCGTTTTAACGAGGTTTGAGTGTAGTGAATTTTAGGGTCGAAGCGAATTCGTTGCGAATAGTGATTTTGGTCGAATAATTTTGAATCGAATTCGAATAGTATATATATCACCCATATTAAAAAAAGGGGGCATATTTGTCATGACCAAAACTAACCTGCACAATATCTTTTGTTTAATAGAGACAACGACTGCGCAAAGGCCATTTTTTTTTTCATCAAAGGAAGTGGCAACAACTTTGAATAGTAACAGGATTTGATTTTCGGTACTGTCCTATTGATAGCCAGTAAAATATGCTATGTTTTAAAATGTGCTATACTTAGAGCATATAGGTCAGTGTAACAATCTTTTAAACTGAAAATAAAATAAAAAAAAACAGAAACCTTGAAGTGGCCTTTCGCTGCAGTGCGGTTCTCTCCTGACTATGTGTTTTGACTACTTAGTAGTACCACTCTCTACTGTAGTGAAACCACATATGCATGCAAACTAATACGCTTGGATAGGTGCTTTCACTGTTTGGCATTCCTTCACTGCAGTGAAAACATCTTTATAGAGCATTACATGGGGATTAATATATCCACCTGTTCGTTCGTTTTCAATCATTTGAAATTTTCAATAATTTAAATTTGATATGAAGTGAATTCGAATACTACATTATTTATTCGAATATTCGAAGCATTTGAGCAATCGCACAAGCCTACGCTGTACTGTTTGCAAAGTTCACTTGCCGGGGTGCAGTGTTGATCGTCATAGTAGTAGTGAACATTTTAGGCGCTTGCAAGTGACTTTTGGAAAGGGGGAAATTAAGATAAAAGTTCACTGACATAACTATCTTGTGGAGGATAACACCTCAACAGGAACTGCTGAGCGTACAGGGCAGAGGAATAAAAGAATAAAAAGAAAAGAACAGAGAAGCAGTCACAGTGAAGGCCAACAACAAGGCCAGCACCCGGCAGACTTTCTCTCATGAATGTGTGGTACACTGGAGGGTGGAGCTATGAAGGGGTATCACTACTGTTCTGTGTGGACTGTAATTCCATGCACCCATACAGTAGACTCGCGATAATTCAAACTCTGATAATTCGAACTTTCGGTTAATTCATACAAAATTCAAAATTTTGGTTGGCTCGCTATGCTTTCAATGTATTTAAAAGCCGCTTAATTCAAACTTCGTCATTCGGTTAATTCGTACTTTCTGCCTGTCCATACCGGAAAATTTCTGCTGATTTGCCGGCAATATTTGAAAATTTGCGTGCTTATGATTATCATAATAGTCTGATATTGAAAAATAAGCGCCTTAAAACTTCAAGGGAAAAGGTTTTGCCACACAATCATTCCTCAGCATTCCGCGCCGCGGTGGAAAAAAAAACGAAAAACAAAAACGGCCCGGTGGTTACGAAGCTGGCTCGCGGCTTATCTCTGCTTTTCCGGCGTGCCGGTGGCGCCGGCCGACTCCGAAGCACGTGACCTGCCCACAGAATGCGTACAGGTCTGCCCGTCTTTCTTACGTGCTGCGCATTTTTCGATCGACCATGTCACCACGAGGAAAATATCGGACACTACCCCTAAAAGAGAAATTGGCCGCTATCCAAGAAGTCGACGCTGGGGTAAAGAAGACCGAAGTGGCACTGAAGTATGGAATAACCAAAAGTACTCTCAGAACCATTCTGAAAGCCAAAGACAAGCTGCAGAATAACCCGAGCCGCTTCGCTCCCGATCGGAAAAGGCTTAGGGAAGCTGCGTACCCGGATCTCGAAAACGCCGTGCTTCTTTGGCTCAAGCGCGCACGGAGCTCCAATTTACCGATAAATGGGCCAATCCTACGAGAGAAAGCTGAAGAACTTTCCTTGCGCTTGGGAATTGAAGATTTCAAGTGCAGCGATGGCTGGATTTCTCGGTTCAAGGAACGCCACGGTCTCTCCTTCAAAACAGTGAGTGGTGAAGCAGCAGTGGTCGATGAAGCTGTTTCTTCTGACTGGCGGCAGACTAGACTTCAAAGCCTGCTGCTTGAATACTCTCCGGCTGATGTATATAATGCCGACGAAATGGGGCTGTTTTTTAAGTGCCTGCCCGATCAAACCTTGTGTCGCAAGGGAGAGCGTTGCACTGGCGGAAAGCTGAGCAAAGAACGGTTAACCGTCATGGTTTGCGCCAATATGGACGGAAGTCACAAGCCAGAACTCTTCGTTGTGGGCAAGTCAAAGCGTCCCAGGTGCTTTAAAGGCGTCCGAACGCTCCCAGTTGCATATGACGGAAACACGCGAGCCTGGATGACGCAAGCTTTGTTCGAGGGTTGGCTCCGCAAACTGGATGGGCAAATGAAGCGAGCGAAAAGGAAAATTTTGCTCATTGTTGATAACTGCCCTGTGCACGGCGACGTGGAGGGGCTGGAAGCAATTCGCCTTGAATTTCTGCCTCCTAACACTACAGCTGTCCTCCAGCCCCTGGATCAAGGGGTAATCAAATGCTTGAAGCTTAATTACCAGAAAACACTGCTAAAGAGAATGCTGATATGTATGGACAATTCCATGCCTTACAGTGTCACACTGCTCTCATCGTTGGCATGCTCGCCGACGCATGGAATGCTGTCACATCAGCAACAATAAGGAACTGCTTCGAGCATGCCTTCCGCATACCTGGCTGCAGCATTGCCACTTCATCTGACTGCTTGCAGACTGAGGGCGACGATGAAAGCCAAGTGCTGTCTGCTCTAAAAGCGCACAACATAGCTGCCGACCTCGACAGTTATGCAGCTACTGATGATAACCTGTGCGTGTGCAGGGAGGACACACTCGATGACTTGGTGGCAGAGGTGCTGCCAGCACAACACAGCAGTGAAAGTGAAGAAGAACCGGAAGTGGAAAATGTGACAACTGCACAGGCTTTCCAGTACATTGCTAAAGTGAGAAAATTTCTGACAACAACAGAAAACTCTCAGAATCAACTGGCAGCACTTACTGGCATCGAGAGCTTTGTGCTAAATGCGCATGTGGCAAATAAGCAGTTGACCATCCATGATTTTTTTAAAAGGTCTAGTCAGCAGTAGATAGTCAATAAACTTGTTGACCATACATGCACCGCTCTCTGTTTTTGTGTAGTTAGGATCTAGAGATGCTTAAAAGTGTGAATATAGATGTCTGATCATAATTTGTGCTGTCACCTTACCCAGAGTCGCATATATGAGAACTTCTGATAATTCAAACAGCCTGATAATTCAAACAAAATCCAGGGGTCCCTTCGAGTTTGAATTAATGAGAGTCGACTGTATTTGAAATGATTTGAAATAGTGCATGTGTGGAAATTTAAAGGCTCCATATTAAGAAAGAGCAAGTAACGCCAGTGTTGGTGCTAGTTTTTTTCCTTTCTTTTAGGTGCTTTTGGTTGGTCTCATCCTGCAGTCAGTTTGAATTCCCCACCATTCGGTTTTCATTCTCCTTTCACTTTTTAATCTTTTGGTTTATTGATCTTGTGGGGACTTCATGCTAACCCTCTCTGCACATGTTGCAATTTGTTTTTGTTTTCAGGTCGTTTATCAAGCAAGTGTATAAAGCTACAGCTAATGCGACTTGTTGCCAATGTTTGTCCAATACTTCGAGAAGTAAAGCAAGAGCATTCATTGACACCACACAATAGAGGAAGTTCTCAGTATTTGCAGCATAATCTTTGTGTCTGCATGACATTGAGGCTGTTCATAGTGTTTTCAACATTGCTGTATTAAAGAGGTGCTACGTGGCATACTGCTCTGCACACTTTAAAAGACTTTGAGAGTCTTGAGAATGCTTGAATACTCTTTATTTTTCTCTGAAACTTCTGCAAACCCTGCAATGCCTTTCAGGTTGGCATTTATTACGGCCAGGAGAGCGGCTATGAAGGTCACCTAGCACAACCTGTGTCCGGAGTCCCGAGCATGGAGAGCTTGCACGGACAACAGGGTCAAGGCTTTAACAGTGAGTACTGGTAGCTCTACTTATCATGGCGACAGTGGCGCTAGAACAAAAGAAGGAAAAGGCAGAAGGAGGTCTGGCATGTTCAAGGCTTAGTGTGTGTTTTGTCAGGGATACATTTTTTGGTAGTTTGTATTTGAAACTTCGTAAGCTGAAATTTACAGAATGTGGGAGAATAACAAATAAAGATAAGTCTTGTAGAAAATGACAAGAAATGACAAGAAAGCACTATGAGAATGGTATATAACTTGATTTTAATAAGCAATGTGGATCTCGGAATAGCTTACAAAAACAAAAGTTGAGAAAATGTATGTTAAGCATGTTTATACCCTTGAACAGCTTCAAGGGTGCTGTCAAGTGGAAACAGCAAGAGAAAAGCCACTTTTTATGTAAGTGGAATCTCGATGACACGATGACGGCTAATACGAATTTCCGGATGATACGAATTTTTCTGTGGTCCCTGCCGCCGAGCCCCATTACTTTGCAATGCGCTAGAGTATGTTTGTTACGAACCGATTTTTTGCCCCCGTCGTTTGATGCGAATGAACGCCGCCCCACTGACGGCCGCGAAATAGAAAAGCGCTCATGTCGCGCGCCGGAATGCGCGCTGCACCGCCGGTTTGGCATTTTGCCAACGGTGCCTGCCAGCAGCGCGCGGTGGCCTCCAACATCGGCGCGCGGCGTGCGCGATATCGGAGACCGCAGAGACCGCTTGCGCCCTTTGATTTCGGTTTAGGTTTAAAGGTAGCGCTGGCCACGGTTTCCTTTCTCTCTCTCTTTTTGGGTGCGGCGGCGCAGACGCAACGACGCGGCGGACTGCGCGGGGCAAGTGGGTCGGTGACGCTTTTGTTGCTGTTGTGCTTTTCCTCTTTCTCTGCATGGCGTTGGACGGAGTGGCTGCAGTGCTGTGCTTCAGGGCGTGTTCTTTGTGTTTACGCCATTTTGCCTAGTCGCAACGAGCTATGTCTTGCAAGCGAAAAGCGCTCTCCTTTAAAGAGAAATTAGACATCCTTGGAATGGTCGATGAGGATCCTAAGAGAAAGCGGACGGAGATGGCTTAGGAGCTAGGCCTTGCAACGTCAACACTGAGCACAGTTGTTGGACAGCGAGAGACCATAATGTAAAACGTGCTTTCGTTCAACGTCAACGCAAAGCAAGCGAAGACTGCTCAGCACGTGAAACTTGAAGAGAGTCTCCTGACTTGGTTTAAAGAAGTAACCGCAGCTGGCGTAAATGTCGATGGCAAAGTTTTGCGGGAGAAAGCCGACGAGCTTGTACTTGCTTTGCATATCGACGGATTTCAGGCCTCAGGTGGGTGGCTGCAGCGCTTTAAGACTAGGCACGCTCTCGTTTACAAAAGCGTCTGCGGCGAAGCGAAAAAAGCTAACGAGGCAGTTGTCAGCGACTGGTTAGAGAAGCGGCCGTCACTCATTGCAGAGTATGAGCCTCGTGATGTTTTTAATGCTGATGAGGCAGGTCTCTTTTTTAACCTGCAACCCGAAAAGAGCCTCTGTTTAAAAGGTGAAGCATGCAGAGGAGGCAAAAAAAGCAAAGAGCGTATTACTGTGCTCTTGTGCTGTAACGCCGACGGATCTGAAAAGCTTAAGCTGACCGTAGTCGAAAAGTTCCAAAAGCCCCGGTGCTTCAAGCGCGAAAGTCATTTGCCGTGCGTCTATCGCGCAAACAAAAAGGTGTGGATGACGGCGGCGTTGTTTGAAGAGTTTTTGTCACTCCTTGACAGGAGGATAGCTTGTAAGAATCGGAAGATTCTTCTTTTTCTTGACCAGTGCGCCGCCCACCCGAGGCAAGTAACGCTTCGGAACCTCAAACTCGTCTTTTTACCCGCAAACGCGACGACGCACCTGTAATCTCTTGACGCTGGGATTATTAAGAATGTGAAGCAACATTTTAAGAGCCTTCTTGTGCGTTGCCTACTCGCAAAAATTGACCGAAAGGACGAAGGTGACCTGAAAATAAGCCTCTTGGATGCCATCCATTTTATAGCTATGGCATGGGATCGAGTAACTCCGACTACCGTAGCGAACTGCTTCGGCAAATGCGGCTTCTTCAGGAGTCCAGAAGAGGTGCCCCCAGAGCCGGAAGATCCTACAATTGAGGACTGGGAACAGCTCAACGTCGAGTGCACATCTGATGATTTTTGCACGGCAGATGACAATCTCGCCACCTGTGGTGCGCGCACGGTCGAAGATATTGTTGAGGAGGCCGCGTGCGGGGCTGCCAATTCCAGCGATGATGGCGACGACATAGACGTGGGCGACGGCGAAGGGCCACCACCGGCGGCTGAAACGCTGCACGCGCTCGACGTTCTGAGGCGCGCTGTGGCCGCGGATGAAGTCAGCGATGACACGTGCAGGCGTTTTTATGCTTTCGAACAAAGTCTGCTAGGTGACCTGGCGAAGAAAAAGAGGCAGAAGGACATCAGAGACTTTTTCATCAAAAAATAAATGCTTTTTGATACTTGTGCCTGGATGAGTTCACGTCTGACTCTTTGTTAATTTAGCTAGTTTTATTTGTTTCGATGATACGAATATTTTTCGTGACCTCATGAGATTCGTATCATCGAGATTCCACTGTAGTCAGCATCGCCTCGCTTATCAACATCTAAACCTTAACTCGTAAGTAAAGCCTCTGTTGACAAGCTGACAGTTACTGAATGGAATTCTAAATCTTCAGTTTAGCGCCACTTCGAAGGAATCTCTGCTAAACTCACTTTTGCAATCCAGGAACTGGTGCGCACTTACATAGTGCAAGCATACTGTGTATGTGCACTGAAGAAAATTGTGTCGTTGGGTGCACGTTCGGAGAGCAAAAGTAGGTCCAAAACCTTTATGAATCATTCGTCTCATCTCGAGTTTCCTGTTTTTGTCAGTCCCCAAAACAGGAAACGTGATCACTGCGGTTTGTGTCGGTCAGTGCCTGCATGGAAACTCGTGTAATTGCCTACCGATGAGAAATAAATGCGATAGTAACAAATCCGTCATCTTTTGAAAGGTTCTAAACCAGAAATCAGTTTCGCGGGCACAACAGTGAGAACCGGTCAATGAATGAAACCGAAACTAGCCGGTGCACTACTGTAGTAGAGTGTTTTGAAGATGCGGAGAGGCATAGGCACTAGAAAAAAATTACATGTACTCAAGAAACATATAACTATGGTGAGTATAGTCACCGTTGTTTCCATGTGGGACCAATTTTTGTTTATGACGAGTGTAGTCATCGGTCATATTTTGCTACAAGACCTCACGTCTGTACTCATCAACTAGACCAAAGGGTTAAACACAGCAGGCTTTCACTTATCTGGAAAGCAGTCCTCATGGTTCAGGGTTATCACTGAGCTCGCTAGTGATTATTGAGAAGTCGAAAGGAGCTGTTTTTCACTCACTGAAGCAAAAGATAAAGCTTTTGGCAGAAACAAAAGGAACTAATAGGTGCCTTTACCTTAATTAGAATAGGGGTGGAACAGCTGTGCCATTTGCACCATTGTGCACCAGATTTGCTTACCTGCGCAATCCTGCGCCGAAGCACCCCTGCTGCGCCAAGCTCTCCTTTCAGTGCCGTACTGCACCGCAGCACCAGAATTTAGCTGCCAAGTGCGAAAGTCATCAAGCACTGAGCCTGGAAATGTGGCTAAAACATAATCTTTTTGGTTTCATTAAAACTCTTATTGTCTCAGTTTCTTAAAGGCTGTGATCGCTCCAAAAGCAGCCTTGAACTTTGATCCTAAGGGTGTGGTAGCGATCGCTGTACGCGCGCGATCACGGCAGGCATGAGCGCGAATAGCTCGAGACCATTCTACTGCTGTGCTTTCAATGCGAAGAGACTGTGAGAAGAGCATCTCTTTTTGGCACGGCTGTATTCTCTTGCACCAGCATTTTGTAGAGTTGCACGATATCTGATTTAAAAGCGTTGTCTGCCAGCCTTATAATTTGTTGCTATTGCATACATTGCTTTCCCATTCCGCTGGAACAGTTTTTCATAACATGATGGCAGCATTCAGGAAAAAAATAAAGGATAGCAGTAACCGTGCTCAAAAAAGGGGGGTGGTGTTCGGTTCCTGGAACAGCGTGACAAAGACAGGTGCACATGACTGCTCACCAAACGCATGGGCATATTCTCATTCATTTGGCCACAGTGCTTCGTATCTATCAACGCAGGGGATGACGCTCGCGTGTTCAGGTAAAAAAAAAAAAGAAAAAGCATGGGCGGCTGTACATAACTAAAATAAGTCACAGTTACACTGCAAGGGATATAAGCAATGAATGCGATAGTAGCGAATTGTAATGTTTTATGAAGGGAGGCTGGCAGCTAATTCTTTTGGATTCGATCTCACGTAACTGTACAAAACGCTGGTGTACGAAAATATGACCACTTCAAAAAGAGCAACACTTAAACGTGACAGCGTTAAAGAGCTCGTGTCGCAGAAAATCTGCCGCCGGCGTCAGCCCTGTTGGTTGTGAGTGAAAAATCGTCTTTGCGTCTGTGACCGAAAAATCAAGTTACCGAGATAGCCGTGAGAGGCCGCTACTTGTCCACGCGTGCGCGTGCGATTACACTGAAAAACTCGCGCATTCGAAGAAAAAAGTACTCAAGGTCACGAAGCGTCATAGTTTCTTTGCCCTGCCACCCCTCCCTGCTTAGCTTCCAGCGCTTTCGTCGGGACGAGAGAAGAGAGAATGCAATTGCAGCTAGCGACAAACTTTTCTACTCAACTCGCACTGGACGGATTCTTAAAATTTTTGCAGCATTGAATTCGTGAGGCAATAAGCTCTTCTAGTGAATTTATTCCATGGTTACTCGAAAAAGTGTTCCAGGGCCCCTTTAATGCATTTTGTTCGACAGGCGTCACGACGAAAACGAGCCCGTTCGGCGATAATAGCGCGCACTGGTCCAATCTACCGTGTGCGTGTTTGTGTGCGTGCATGTGTATGTAACAAAACATATGAATAAGTATGCACTTAGCGGTTGAAGGGTGCACTTGGGGCCGG